CGTGCTAAAAAACAGTGCTGATAACACAGGGATGTTTTAGCTATCATTGAGCAGGGCTCACACAGAGTCAAGGCCTTTGCTGCTCCTCACCCCACCCCACCAGTGAAGGGGCTGGGGGCGCACAAGAAGCTGGGAGGGGGCACAGCCGGGACAGCTGACCCCAACTGGCCAAAGGGCTATTCCAGACCATATGAGGTCATGCTCAGCATATAAACTGTGGGAAGAAAAAAGAAGCAGGGCATGTTCAGAGAGATGGTGTTTGTTGTCCCAAGTCACCATTATGCATGATGGAGCTGTGCTTTCCTGGAGATGGCTGAGCACCTGCCTGCCCATGGGAAGTAGTGAACAAATTCCTTGTTTTGCTTTGCTTGCATGCGTGGCTTCTGCTCTCCCTGTTAAACTGCCTTTATCTCAACCCAAGAGTATTCTCACTTTTACTCTTCTGATTCTCTTCCCCATCCCACCAGGGTGGAGTGAGCAAACAGTGATACGGGGCTTGGTTGCCGGCCAGGGTGAAACCACGACACGCTGTACAGTAACAGTCTGTTGGAAGAACTCTGCTCCCCAGGATCACCACTCACCAGACATATCTGTTAGCTGATACTGAAAAGAATTCTGCATAGGACACCCAAGTTTAATCAGAGCAGGTTTTTCAAAACCCTTCACTGAAACCCAGATAATGAGAGAAGAAATGTTTCTGGGTGTACACTGTTGAAAATGAAACAGGAAAAACTGCATTTATCTGTTTGCTCTTCCTGGCCCAAGGGGATAGTCAATGCCAGTTGCTTTCGTCAGCAGCTGGCAAGAATATGATCAAGAACTACCTTAACATCATCTGGTTTAGTTACAGCAGCTCTCTCAGATACGGGCCCAACAGGAGACTGACCCTTGCCGCACAGTGCCGGGCTGCTCCCAGCCAGCAAGCAGCAGCTACAGCTCTCACTCTGTTTTTCTCAGAGCTGCTTCAGCTGAGTGAGGAGTTTCTTTGCTTCCCTGCATTTCCATTGTGCAGTGATGGCTCCGTTTCCCTCCACTCGGGCTTGCCCGCACCTTCAGCCAACATCAGTGCTCTACCTGCATTTACATTCAGTCTATTCAATAACACGTCCAGCCTCACGGTTGACATTTCTGAGCAGCTTTGCACCTCTAAGGAAGAAGCTCTTCTGCTTTTTTCCTGCTTCTCAGGTTGAGCAAAATTCAGCAAGCAGCCAGTCCACAAAAGCATATTGTTGATAGCAAAAAGGCTGAATTATGCTTTGTTTTCCTACCCAGGCATGCCAATTTGAACACGATCGCACTTACTCAGCTCTTCAGTTTCACAGAACTCCTGAACGTTTATTGTTTGTAACCCCTTAGATGTAACTGGCCCCTGGGTTGAAAAGTTGGTAGAGCAGGACAGAGAGACGCACCTCTTCTCCATAAAACCCCCTCTGCACTAGAAGTATGCCTCAGCTTTTTTTTTTTTTTTCTTTTTTCTTCATTTTTATAGAGCTCACTTTAGGCCTGGTGAATTATTCCCGAAGACAAGTTCAAGCTTCTGTTACAGCTTCAAGTTCCTCATTCAGGTACAGTTCAGGTCATCTTATTAATTTATGGTTGTTGCCAAACTGCTTCCCCATCAGCTCTGCCTCCCTCAGCTGTTTTTAGTGGGCAAGAGCCGGGAGAGACTCCAGTTACACAGCAAGTTTCGCATCCTCACCGACTGTCTCCAACCTCCCTCTGCTGATCCCAGCTGGGAAATCAAAGTCTCGAGGCAGGTACTACGGATTCCTGCATGGGGCAGCTTCTGTGAAGCCCAAAACGTTGGCATGCCGTAGGAGGCAGGGAGCATGCTTCATTTTGGGAATAACGCCGCTTTGAGTTTCTGGACTAAAACATTGCTTTTATGGTAAAAAAGAAAAATTAGTACCTTTTCTGTCCTTAGCCCTGAAGTTTAAAGAACGGCACCCTGTGGGTGTCTTTCCCCCCACTTACTCTCATTAAATCTCACCTCTTGCATTCTCACTCTTCCAGACTCATTTTTTCCATGCGTGCTGTTTGCAGCTTTCACTCTTAACAAGATTTTTTTTGAACGTAGCTTTTTTGGTGTCTTCTGCAGCTGAAACTTTTTGCAAACCCCGTTCCTGTGAAGCAGGTCCTGCAGAGTCCTTGGAAATGAGAATATTGAAAAACCTAACCTTACTGGGATGAAGGGGGAAACAGCTAACCAACATTTTTTCATCCCAAAATACCTTTCCCTAAGTGAGAGGAATTTCAAATGAACAAATCTAAGTAACAGTTTTAGTGCCACCCATGCTAACTTCAATTATAATCAATAATTGATATGCATTACATATTCTATTATAATAGATATAATTTATAGAATTTGCTTTTTGTCTACAGAGATGGGGTCTTTTACTTTGATTAGCAAATTCTGACATGTAGCCCACATCGGACTAGAAATACGGGCTCCTAAGTGTCCAGCAGGTGTTTTATAAGTCAAGAACTGTTGGGCAATTAAAAACTAACACAGTGCAGGTAGTTTCAGCTGGTTCTGGTAGCATGAGATGACTATTTACACAAGCAGTTCAGCTGTTTCTGACACAGTCATCTCCTCTTTTAAAAAACTGCCTTTATTTTCATTAACTGCCTAAGTAAGTTGCTTACAACTATGACCAATTTTCTATACTGTTGGATTCTTTCTTTCCCATCATCGTTGTGTGCCACGAATCACAACACAACAACCCATTCCTTTGTTTTTTCCCAGGTAAATGCGAGCTGTTTCATGGGCTACAGCTACACCTTCCGATACCGCTGCCAGTAGCACCATTTAATTTCAGTTTCCAGAAGCCCAGTTCCACGAGCAGAGAACGGTGTTAGTTAAAGGCAGAGACTTGGTATTTGTTCCTCCCTCCTCAGCATCTTTTAACCTTATTTTCAAACTACCAATGGATAAGAGGTCAATACTCTAAAATTACGAGGTGATAACATTTCAGCTTGGTGCCTGATTAGATGTGGTGGGCTCTAATCCTGAATAATGATTCAACGTAACTGAGTATGATGTAATGTAATTGAGTCATAATATATCCAATGTATTAGGTCCCGTGTCACAACTCTCAAAACAAGTCAATCGTTCCTCTCCTTTAATTAAGTAGGCTTCTGTTTGGCATCATCCTTATTAAGCATTACATTTCCAAAAGGAAAAAAAAAAAAAAAAAAAAAAAAAAAAGACACACCGTATCAAACCCAAAGTCCCGATATAGTGGTATCAAACCCACAACCTTTAAGAATATGCATGCTGTTGAAAAACAAAACCCACCAGCCTTGTCAGTAAAAATACTCCCTGTAGACCTGTGTGAATGGATCTTACGTCATGCTGCTTTAGAAACAAAAATAAAAGATTCGCATAAGCCTAGGCCACGGGGCCTTCCATCACCCTTCTCTCACTGCCAAGCAATGGAGCCCCACGCCAGCTCATCTTGCTGAAGACTGATAACTGCAAGCTGTTAGTGTGTAATTCCCTATTTTTTTTCCAAATTTCAGTCTGGGAACAGGAATCCCAACCCAAAGTCTCACTGGCATAAAGCTACTAATAACTATAAACACAAACAAAAGGTTCTCAGTTAAGAAGATACTGAATGTTTGTAAATGTACTTTAAAAGATGGCCAGCAAATAACTGAAGTGTTCTAAAAAAATTATTTTCAGTCTATTCCATGCTGTTCTTGCTGAGTTGAACAGAAACATTCTGAAATCAAGTGGTGTGGTAGGTCTAAAGATAACAAAATATGTCAAGTCTTGAATTTGGCAGTCCAGATGGAGGAGTTCAGAGGTATAAAGAGAATATTTCTACTGAGACCCGACTTAAAAATAAGGTAGTAACAGTAAAATCAGAATTTTATCTTCTTTTTAACAAGGATAGTACTAACAATTGAGCCAAAGAAGATGCATTTTCAGGAAGTAAGATGGTCTGGCTTCTTCCTGTAACAAGCCTGTGATCTTAAGAGCAATGTGAGAGTAAAGGCACATGCATTCATCTTTAAACTGGTTGCACCTGAATGACTACAAATGGCTTTCTGAAAAACTAAGAAGTCAACAGGCATTAGCTGTATAACATTTTTATTTTACTATATTGACATTTTATGCACAAATATTTTATCAAGAGTAAAAATAGAAAATAATTGTTTCATGTAAAATTACCAAAAAAATGCAAACCACAAAAGAAATACATAATTATTAGCAGAGTATAAGTGTCTTTATTTAAAGAGTAAAAAGTATGCAAAACCCCTTCAGTTTTACAAAAAAATTGGGAATATTCTTTCTATGTTTTCCTTCTGGCAGCAACAGAACAACCTTTGACAATATATTCTACATCTTTTATTTTATTGAAGACCTCAAGTTAGTCACAGATTCCTCCCTCAACTACAGAGAATGTGACAGTGATTTTATAGTGTTCGAAAGATTCCTTCTTTACTAATGAGAACGCAGTGGAAAAGCAGATGATCCCACAACGAAGAACTCAATGGACTACCATACCTACCGAAAAGCTGCAAAAGAATTGCCTGAGGTATTTACAAAGCAAGGGTGATACCAGAAGTTTCCCCTAGAGGGCTTATCCCGTAGCAAGAACATTCAGGGGGATAAAGCATTTCAATTTTGCTGTTAGTTTATCCCCCACAGTCCAGTTTGATCTAGAAAGCTGGTATTTTAAGCTTCTCTTCTTTTTATACTGTACTTTAACTAAAAAGGCCTCTCATGAACTCTGCTAAATAAAACCAGTGACTTGCATTGGACCTCTTTAGTAATGGAGTGGTTTTATATGCATAGCCGCTGCCACTGAACTATCAGCTTTGTCTCATTCTCAGTAAGCAAACCTGCACCTATTTGCGTAAGTCACCTCGAACACTTGCCAGCTGGTGGAACCAGACTCCTGTAACAGTAATAAATGGATTAAGGGTTGACCTCTCATGACAGATGCATTTAGATATTTTGCTCAGGGCTTAAGATTTTTTTTTTTTTTTTTTAAAAAAACAAAATAAATGCAGCATGCTCAGTAGATGGAGTGCTTTCAGAGCTCAAGAATAAAAACAATATTAAGAGTTACTGAAAGAATCTGGCAAAAGAAAAATTATAATCATGGTGATGATGAAAAAAGTAGGCTAGAACGACACGCAAGATTTCTAGTTAAGCAAAAACTATCTGCAGATGAACATCCACCGAGAAACAAAAAGCTCTGTCCTCAACGCATCTTTGAAAGAAACACGAGTCTTCTGTGTTCTTTGCCCTCTGCCTGCAGGCAAGGCCACTCCTTTGCAGATCAAGGGCAACAGTCCAGTGCTCTTGCTACTCCATATAGACACATTTTATGTTTAGAACCTCACTGTACAAGCGTTTTTGATTTAAGGGTTAAGAGTAGCTCGATCCCCCACAGAATTAAAGGTCTTCCCTTACACGCCTGCATTAAGTGTTACCAGAGGGGGTTTCACTATAAACAGTTGGAAAATATGCATGGTGACATAATATTTACACTGTTTAACAATAGCAAGGGGCAAAAGCAACCCCCAAATCGCACGGTTTTCAGCCATCAAAAGAAATGGTCTAATAGGCATCAGTACAGAAACTCAAAAGTTGCAGCCTACTTTTTACTGCACGTATAATGTTGCAGGAAGTACTCTCTGTAGCTCAGAATTCAAGGTACATTCCAACTATTTCTATTCATCATCCAGGCTTCAAATCACACCCAGCTCTGGAGCATGCATTTGGCTTACGAAGCTTCAAAAACATCCCTCGGAAGTTGAGAAAGAAATTAATTTTAAATAAAAAATACACCTTTGTATTTTAATATATGTCAGACTGTACAATAATTTGGAAATCAAACTTCAGTCCTCTGTAAAACTATTTTCAGCTTGCATTTTGTTTCTAAACAGGGACTATGGACTGTGATTAACTTAAGTCTTCAGTTACTAAGGTTGACTACCATGCACGTAATAAGCACCTTGTAGAAGAGAGCGTTAAAAGCCCCCACCAAAACAGACTGCTCTTTGGGCAAGGGCTATTTTTTTCCCAAGTTTTCAAATCACCTGATGGGGGGGGTGGTAGCAGGGGAAGAAGTTTGTCTTCACTTTTTGCTAAATGGCTAGCATTAACAATGCCTTTCAAAACAGGTAAGTACTTGCCCTCATATATCATATTATCTACATATTACAATGAAATACTCATAATTGGCTTTTCACCTAAGCCAGATCTAAACCTGGATCTCCTTCTTCAGCACTGATCTTCAGTTCAGCCTTGTCTTAGTTTACTTTGCTTATAAACACAGAAGCTATTTTAAGAACCTGATGCTTGGTAACATTTAATGTGTCTTTCCGCTCTGCTTGATTAAATGAGAATAATGAACACGTTTAACTTTGAAAGCATCAAATGCCATTTGGTAGTCCAGCAGAGAACAAGAGACTGGAAAGGACTGAGTTGAGACAACTGATCAGCCTGCGTGCTGTAGGTTCTTCATTTTTGTTACAAGCCCTGCAAGAATTACTTTGTACAGCTGCAGACACAGAACGCTGACCAGTTCACCCTTTCTCACCAATTTCAGACTGCATACCATAGAGGCCCTGACTCAAAGGTGCAGAAGTTGTGGTGACCCCTTAACATATATTGAAATATATGCTGTTAAAAGATCCAAATTTATGCGAGTCCCAGTTCTTTATAGAAAATCATGCTCTATGTTGTACTGTCAAGAAACAAAAGAAGTTTCAAATTCTGACAAAGGTAAGAGCAGCAACTGCTCTGGCTATATAGGAAAGGCCTCAGGCTCCCGCTTTCAGGTCCTAGTGCTTAATTATCTTTCTCCGTTTGCAGGGATGCTGTAGCTAGCGCCACTGCTGTGACCGGCTGTGCAATGCCATGGAGCTGCATCTTGGCCAGTTTCTTCTGCTCGCATTCTGTGACCAACCGGTTCAACTCTGCTGCACTGTATCCGATGAGAGTTTTCAAGTCGCAGACAAATTTATACACAAACCTCTTGCCTTGAACTTTGCAGATCATGTCTCCATCATAGTAATACCTGTAGAAAGGGGGGCGGGAAATCAGTGTAAACATTCAGCATCTGTAACTTCTATAGGCATGTTATTTACTTAAGGTCACTCGGAGGCCAAAATATTAATCTTTTTCTCATCAAGATTCTCATATAATTTCATATAGCAAGACACTCTTTAGGTGTTTTCTTATATGAGAAAAGGGAAGACGGTTGAAAATTGTCCCTGCACCTCGATACGTCAAGGAGAAACAAAACATAGTAATTATTTTACAGGCAGTCGGAAGCACCAGTTCAGAAATGAAGCAGTTTAAAAACAGCTGGGGACACACACATAAGTTTTATGTAGAGCTTTGCCTTAAGAAGAAAATTTTGTCTCCCCCCTCATCATTGTCCTTGCTTTCTTTATTCTTGTTCCTGCTTTTCTGAGGAAAAAATTCATGTTGGGAACAGTTTGAAAATTAGCACTGTAGTTTCCATGATACTAAAGCAGCCATTCCCTCCCTATTGTTTTTAAAGATGAAAGTAAAACTGTAAAAGCATGTTTGGGTTTTTTTTTTGGTTTGGTTCCCCCCTCCCCCCCCCTTTTTTTTTTTTACAGTTCATATGCTGGCAAAACTACATCCTTTGCCTTTATTTACAACTAAAAGCGACTCCTCTAGCTATCAATACTTTTTACATTGTGCCACAAAAGAATTGACAGGCTGGGCAGAAATGGAGTAAAGGTAACAAAGTCTGTATGACCCACCGTACTCCAGAGACATTATAAAACTTTAGGTGATACCAATAAACCAGAAGTTAGAATGTTACAGTTTTGTGGCTGATCTTGTCTCATTGCAAGCATTAATAGAATGCATGTCACACTTCTCATTAAGAAAACCTGAGTGACTGGGACTTGGACTTGATGAGCTTAACAAGCCTATGATAAATTTGGAAAAAAATCAAAACCAAACCCAACCAACCAAATAAACAAAACAAACAAACAACCCCCCCTCCCCCCCAATTTAATTTCCTCAAAACCATCATCCAAATATAGTGCAAAGGAGTCCGAATTTCATGACTGTCTAAAACTCAATGCTCTGAATGACACACTTGTAAGGCAAAGATGACTCACATTCACCAGCAAAATTAAGTCAACTAAGAGACTAACTTCTGTCTCCCAGCTCTAGTGGAAAAGAGGTAAGTTACTAAGAATCCAACCAAATTTCTTCAGGCACCTCAAATTCTGAGGAAAAAAACCTTACAACTTCTTACTTTTGAGAGTCAGGATGTAAGCAACAGTACTGAAGACAGGATGAGAGAGAGACTATGTAGAAAAAATGCTGGCAAGCCTGCTGGTAACTGATACCATGCAAGAAGGCACAGAGGGCTGCTACGGAGTACGAGAACTGCCAAAGTAGCTTGCTGTTGCTCTGTGGGTAAAGTAAGTTTGGTCTGTTTGCCAAAGCTCTCCTTCACCTTTCTCCTGAATAACATACAGCTACATAAAAGCTCCCTCTTCAGTCCTCCTCCTCACTCCACGCCCCCAAGCTAGCACCTGCAGCCCCCTCAACTCCTCTCTGTTTTCTTCTCCACATCACCATGCTTGTTCCTGACCACCACTCCACTGCCACTCGGCACTTCTCCGCAGCAGCCCTATCCTCCAAAGCATCTTCTTGGCACCAGCTGAACGATCTGTTCTTGTGTGGTGTCCATCACATTCAGCCTCCTAGTGAGGCAATGAGGTTTAGGTATAAGGGGTTAGATGAAACCTGTAACCAGAGAGGATGGTAATTTATGTCCAGCTTTGAAGTACAGTCTTGCAGTACTGGGCAGAATTGGGTCAGCATGAGTGATACCCTGGTGTATCCCTCATGTGTAAAATACAGTATAGCTAAGAGAAATACAGTATAGTTTACAGTGTGGGAATACCGGGCAGGCATTCATATTGAATGCGACAGGGTACTGACATAGAGAAATTGGGGAACTGGGAGCTGTGCTCACCTGGGTCAATAAGAAGCATCCGCAAAAAGCTAGAGTTTGTAAAATGTGGCCATGGCATATGTCAAGTGCCACTGGCCAAATTTTTTTAAAGTTATTTAACTCTGTACAAGAATTTACATTTACTGTACAATCCTGTACAGTAATGCCTGACTCAAAATAATGCCATAGAAGAATGCTTTACACAACTGCATAAATTTCTTTGAATTATTTAGCCCACCTTACCTAACATGATCAGAAAGGAAAAGCACCACAAGAAGTTAGTGTACGTTTATGCAAAGGCCCAAAACCATGCAAGATTCCCACATCTCATGTTAGAAACACTCAAGTTAGAATTGAGGCAATGTGATGAGAGGATTTTTTCCAATATTACACTGAATGCATTTCTGATTACAGCATTTGCTTATTCAAAAATACAGAAAACTAAAAATTAATAAAAATAAATACCATGTGAGTTTGCAAAGCCTTAGTTACTGGAACATTATGAGTCACATGAAAACTTTGTTCCAGAACAATACAGGAGATGAACTATTTTTCTTCAAGTCTTACCTCCCTACTGGATAACTAAACAGATGTTGATTTCAGAAAATTTACCGAGGTGTATGTAACAAAAAAGCTGCTCTTCCGTTTTTCACCCTGCCCTAGTTTCCATTGTGCCTGGTTTTCCTACAGCTGGGCAGAAGAGCTAGCACACTTCTCCATAATATCAATGTCGTTTTCTGTATTAACCAACAATTGACACAGTAATTTCAGTACATTAGTAAACAAAACCTATTACCATTTAATAAAACTTTAGCTTGGCAACAGTGTTTATCATGGGAGTAGCAAGAGGCATTAAATACCCCTTCAGACACTCAAGTGTTAGAAAACATGTTAATATTGATGCAGCTGCCAAAATGGCAACATTTTGAGGAGTGTGATTTCTGTAATTCTGTGACTAAAATATAAATGCAAAACTTCTCTAATAGAGATTTATGCAAATTACTGTGCAGACATCTGTTTAATATCCCAGTGATAAGAATGTTATTCTAAAGTTCTTCAGCTGCCTTTGACATCTTCTGCAGAGTTTGTTGACAAAACCCAAAAAACCATAAGCATCATTTACATCATTTTTATGTTCCAGAAAGTTTTTGCATATACCTTCAGTACACAAACACATAGATGGACATAAACAGGTGGGAAATGGGAATGGTATTGCAACAATACAGACTGCGGAGCAGCTCTACTGGAAAGACCTTACTTTGGGCTGGACCAGAGACCTCCCTCAGGCCCTTCCCACCCAAGGGATTCTGTGGTCCTATGAAAAAAAGTAACCTTTTAATTTAATATATAAATAATGCAAGAGCAGCCATACCAGACCAGACTAAAGATCTATCTAGAGCAGGATATAGACACCAAGAGTCCAAAAAAGAACACCTAAGGAAAAGCATGAAAGCAGAGTAAGCATATATTAATGCTCTTCCTTGCTTTTCAATGATCTGGGGCTCAGGAACTTCTAGAAGTTGCATCTTTCCACACCTAATATCCTTCAAAAGATTTTTTTCATTAATTTTTCCACTTTCCTCTCAAACTCATAAAATAATTCTGGCATCCATAATACTGTGCCTGAAGAAGTTACAAGACAAACGGAAGGGTATAGTTAAGCTCTGTATCTGGTGCCTGCCTGTTTCTTCTGATGCCTCCTGTTCATGTAAATGAGATGCTGAGCAGTCAGTCTTCACCCACTCTATGCCATTCACGGACTTCTAGACCTCAGTCTCCCCCAGTGAAAGTACTCATTCAGCATTATGCATATTGACGTTATTTAAATCCTCCCTAAAAGACTAAAGAAAGCCAGAACATGGCAACTTTACCATCATGTCTCACTAAATGTTTTTAAATAGAAGTTGATTTTTTTGTTTTTAAACAATGCTAGGTAAGTTTACTTCCTTCAAAGCGGAAATGCTGAGAAGTAAATCTTAGGTGTCAGACTTCAACCAATATGCAACTTCACTCATATAGAGTTCCTAAAACTGCTTAAATAATTTGCGGAATTAGGCAATAAATACCTTTCTTGAAAACTAATCAGGAGAAATAGATTTAACCACATCAGAATAAGAGAATGAGAAGTTCAATCTTAATGATTTCAGAGAACTTGATGAATAGTCAAATCATTCCAGAGGCCAAACTAATCAGGGGAAAAATAGTCTAAAATTTAGGTACTTGCATTCTTCCCCCTCCTCAAGCACATCACCTACAGTGATTCAATAATACAAATCCCTTTATCAATGTCAAACTACAAAATCATGATGGAATGAAGACAGCCTGAAACCCTTCCATTTCTTCAGATGATAAAAGTTCACTATGCTGGAATCACAACAACTGTTGAAACTTACCTGTCAACCGTATTTTTCAATTTAACATCCTTACCATAAGAACAATGGAATGGATCAATGAACAGTGGAACTTAGAAAAAGTTTTGATACATACAGAAAAAGTTACATACAGAAAACTACTACTGATTACATAATTACAGTTAAGTACCTGCTTTATACCATAACAAGAGGAACATGAACAAGTAAAGTGTAAAACATAAAAATAAGTCAGTAATTCAGAGTATCCACATATTTCCGTATCTTTCACCAATAATCAATACATTTTGGCATGCTACTGAAAGCATAAATGCTGAAGATGTATCAAAAAGAAATATATTTCCAAAAGTGAGCTACTCAAATTAACTATCATGTCAGTATGTCAGTGTTCAATAATCTTGAAAAAAGAAAATATGTTTTCAAGAAGTTATTGTACTAGCTTCTAGGGGATGGGGCGGGAGGGGCAGATGGTGGGAAAAAACCGCAACAAATAACCTTTCCCCTAAGACTAGTACAACCTGATGGGAAGGAGTAGTTTCAGAGGATCTGCTTATCCCTTTACTAAAAAAGCCACGAGTCTTGTATTACGATAGTTAAAAATAAAGTAGCCAAGTGGAAGCAAATTATTTCATACCCGATCAGTTCCTAAAGCTTCTTACCTCAAAGCCCGACTAAGCTTCTCATAGTTCATCGTGGGTTTGTTTTTGCGCTGTCCCCATTTCTGCGCAACCAGTTCAGGTTGATTCAGTTTAAACTCTCCTTCATCACCAACCCAAGAAATACAGTCCCGAGCATCTTTGTCAGTGAGAAGTTCTAACAAAAACTGCCACAACTGGATCTGGCCATTGTTTCCTGTTCAAATGGGAATAACAAGATGCATTTCAATTAGTCCTTTTCATGCTCCCCTCATAGCTACAAATTTTCAACCAACATATTAAAGCAGACCAACATATAATATATGATGAAAGAAAAGCTTGCACTTAGTTAATTTCTTCTAACTATTCTTTTGTAAACATTTTCCTGCAGAGTCATCAGTATTAGTCTATTAAAAAAACCTGTGATGAATTAAATCGAGATTTCTCATAAATCTGTCCACAGAACTTAAGAAAAAAAAAATTATGTAACACTACACATAGTCATTTAGACATGTATCTATCCCTAAAATAGAACAGATTTAGCAAGAGCTGCTTATTCCTCTTCAGGCATACACACAGAGAGATATATGTAATAGAAATTGTTCCCTTTTTAAAAATAGTTTAGTCTCCAATTTTCAACAGGAAATATTAGAAATACACCCCTCCCAAACTTCAGCTTACATCAGTATAACATCTTTCATGTCCAATCATTAAGATTTCTTTTTAACTCAAGTTTCTGCAGTTAAATTCTTAAATTCCCAATGAGATACAGATCACAGACCTAATGTCTAAAGGGAGAAACACAGAATATTCCCCACTGATGTCAGCCGATAAAATCTTGGCCTAAGAATCCTTAATGACACAATAATAGACTTCTATGGAGAATTTAAAACACATAAAAATTCAAGGGAAAGGAGAGGAAAGGATTTAACAGAAAAACTCACAACAGTGTAGAGAACCAAAGCAAAAATGACAGCAAGAAAAAATAAGACACAGAAATTAAGATGAGTTATTAATAATCAAAGACTATGTATTAATAACGGTAATTCAAAAAATAAACTGCAAATTTATTGTGCAGTTTTCCAGAAGGTGTGTTCATTTAACAAAACAAGAAATCTGAAACTCGCTGAATTCTAAAGTCACCAAACTGGGCAGGGGGGGGAAGAGGAGGGGAACAAGTAAAGCAAGTAGTGACTAGGCTAGGATTCTGTAACATACAGTTTATTTTCTCCTCTTTCTGCAAATGGAAATTGGAAAGTTAAAAGCTTAAATAAATGCTATGCAATGGTTTGAGAGGACAGACTGTTAGGATAGGAGAAGAAACAATTTTATGCATTTTATTTACTGCAGGACTCAAAAGCTGCGGCAGCACGTTAACATAGCGCCTGTGTGAGCTAACCAGACTTCCACATCTGCAAGTGCTTGTGATATATTTTGTAGCTACAGTCCCCCTCATACCACATAGACTTCCACAAACCTCACATTTAGAGTGACAAAGACGTGTTCCACAAAATTGTAATTCAAATTAATGAGCGTTTACTACATTTGAATTTAAAAATAATGGAGACAATACCTGTTCTGTTCCCAGGGGAGCTTCTATCTTCCCCAGAGATCCTTGGAGCTCTCTGTACTTTAGCTGCCTTTGCACTGCTGTTTATGACTTTAATGGTGGTTGGGGTAGCAGGCTGTACAGATGCTGGAATAATCTGCACAGCTATAAAGCAGAGAACATTGCAGAACATCAATTATAAATTGCTGTCACAGAAACAGGCATATATTATTTATTACCTATATTATCTTAACATCTAGGAGATAGTTCTTTTCCTTTGCTAAAAAGACACACTGTATAAGTCACAATGCTAAGAATAATTTAAAGACTTTTTACCTCTTACAGTGGAAATTGTGGTTTTAGACTTGTAGAGATGCCACATTAGATAAAACATCAGCTTTAGTTTACTATCATGTGTATTACATATTGCCATAAAAAAACCCTCTCTCACGCCTTTGTTTTCGTCTTTATGTTGTTCCCATATGATCTACCCTAATGGACTCTTCTCCATAGTCAGTGTACAACCCTCCATACCTGCTATTCAAAAAGCAATTAAATATCCTTCTATTGCAATGCTATAAGAATATGCAAATGCTCCACTTTAGGTGGTTTTAACTAGACAAAAACCCAGGATGCAATACACGGTCTATCTAGTTAACTTATAAGCTGCTTACAAGTCTTCTGAAAATTGATTCATTTTAATAATTTCTGACACTGCTTCAGCTGGAAGAATACTTTCAATGGAAGAACAGAGTTTCAAATAACTGGAAAGTTACTTTAATATGTTTTTTCTAGTATTGGTTTCTAAGCAAGTCCTCTCTTCCACACTCCCTTTCAGTTTTTGGAAACACTTTCATTGGACAAGCATAACATTTTAACATATCTATTAAGGCAATATATAACCTAAAAAACCAGAACAACTCAACACCTCAAATATGTATCCTAGACAGCTTATTGCAAGAGAGTGGAAAACCTACCAAACTTTCACAGTTCAGGCCATACACCACCTTTCAGCCAATAAAATATTGAGTAACCCAACATTTTGATTTGAAGTTTAAAATATGCCCTCCTCCCCTCACCAAAGAAAACTACTCTCTCAAATGATTTTCTAAATGTTGTACTATTATAGTGCTGAACCAAAGTAGAGTGCTAAACTTGAAAACAGTTAATTGTGTGAATTAACTGCTGGCAGAAGTACTCACGCTGATCAATAGTAACAGTTGCTATTTCTCCAGAGTGTTCTTGGCTAGCCAACACATCTGCAAATTAGAAAAAAAATAATAAGTTTTTATTTAACCCACAAATTTCAAGTCACCTGAAGATCAAAAACTTTCGTATTTCATAGAGGAAAAAAGTCAAAATTTGGTATTGGTTTGCAAGAGACTTGCATAGCTCATGAATTTTTAGAAATAAGGATGTACGTGGTAAATTTCAAGGTATCTTATGCATTCTCCATCATCTAAAACCTTTAGCAATATCTTGTAAATGAAGATGGAAATAGTTTTTAGTCTGTCAAGTTACATCCAAGCATGGTAAATCTGAAATGCACATATAAGTTATTGTATTATACATACACAATGCATCACTTATCAGTTGTGTTGTGTACAATCTAAAGATTTCATTGCTTATGCTTAATAATCTTCATTTCTATATGACACAGAGACTGAGATTAAATAGCTCGCGATCAATATTTAACTATAAAACTGTCAAAGTCAGGAGATGCACAAACTAAAAATCTTTATTAAAACAAAGGAGGAATCATCAGTCACTACTTCCTCCCTATTAGTTATGAAGTTTGGTGAAAGATGGGCAAACAGTGGTTAGTATGCAGACATCTTTCATAACAGCAGACATTCTCACTAATACCTCCTGTTATCTTGTATTGATGCCCTCATTTTTACTGCCAATATTAAATAGAGGAAAAACAACTGCTCACAATTGTTTTCATCTTTAAAGAAGGGCAGGAGGGGGGGTAGTGCAGGGAAGAGAGAAGTTGGGAAAGGGAATAAGTAAAATCAGTAAAATCTCCCATACACTTTCGAAGAAGCTCCAAATGGCTCCAAAGGATTTCTCCCCGCGGGACGCGCTGGAAGAAGTCTTCTTGACTGAGGCTGCAGAGCTCCCGCCCAGGAATGCTGAGCGCGTTTAGGTCAATATCAGTCATGCTGAACTCCTTCATCACCCACACCACCCAGTGGAGCACCTGGTCTGTCGACCACTGCACTGGGTCTGGAAAAAGAGAGACAAAACTGCAAATCACCCCATTATATACTGCAAGGTTCCTCCTCATTGAGGACAGAACTAGTCCTCACTGTAACTGAGAACAAAAACGGAATACAAGTGTCTACTGATCCAAAGCATTCAAACATTCTCCTCTTAAAACGCTGAGGGAGTGGTGTTGCTTGCTGGGGAGATGGAAAGGGCAAAAAAGGAATTTTCTTTAGCAAAAGCTTTTACATCCGAACTACACCTGACATTTCTCAAACACAGAAAATAATTATTTTTCTTTTTCCATAGGTCTTTAGTTTCAAAAAAGAGCAGTCTCTCTCACACCAACATGCTATTCCTCAAATATGTTGATCAGCATTCTAAACTCATTCACATTATCCCGGTTTCTAAACCATTTAAAAATCACAATCATATTGGGTTTGGCTGGGATGGAGTTAGTTTTCTTTATAGCAGCTCGTATGGTCCTGTGTTTTAGGCTGCTGACCAAAACAGTGTTCATTAACACACTGATGTTTCGGCTTCTCCTGAGCAGTGCTTGCAGAGTCAAGGTGTGACTGACTGAAGCCCTAAGGGTGGAATGTGACTCCCCTACAATGGAAGAAGGCTCAGAGCAGATGGGCGAGGGTGAAGTGCCCATGAAGCTCAGAGAATAATGCAAAGAAGCTGACTTTATCTCAACAAAAAGGAGGCAGAGGGTGGCCTTTGTTTTAGATAAACAGCTATCAACAGTTGACTGGATCAACTGATGGTGTACACATCTCCCTGAGTCAGCCAGACCAGCATGGGGGGAGTGAATACATTGCTCAGCCCACCATAGAGTACACAAACTAGGTAACTAGCAAAAGAATTTCAGAGACCAGTGGGCTGGAGCTGGTTTCAACCCAAGTATTCCTTCTTCCTAGCAATTGGGGACACCCAATATCATGATGGGGAGAGTATTATATAGAGACCAGTAAGGGGAATCACATTGGTATTGTGATTGAACAGTGTATTGCAATTGCTGCATTTTCTAAGTGTAACTTACCTTTGTATTGTTTTTTGATAATTTGTGTCACTCTGCTAAATCAGAAATCCCATGTAACATGAACCATATTCAAGTGAATTTGATAAGAAACATTACACCCTTCACGCAGGGAATATCTACAAGAACCTGGTCAGAGAGTACTGGACTCGGACATCCCAGCAAGAAGAATGGGGGCACACAAGAAACTGGGAGAGGACACAGCCAGGACAGCTTATTAAGCTGTCTTTATCTTGACCCATGACTTTTTTTTTTTGGAGTTGCTGTGGCCCTTTTGATTCTTTCCCCTATGCTTACGGAGGGGAAGTGTGCAACTGACTGGGTGGAGGCTCACCTGCTGGCTGGGCTCAACCTAACACACAGGTGGGCTAATAAACATGCACTATATAGGTATAGATGAAAATATAAACCAGCAAGTGTAATACACCACATCTACAAGGACCTCATTAAATAAACCATTAAACCCAGATTTGATACAATAGGACCCAAAGCATGCTTGTATTTGAATCAAATGAGCCACAGCATCAAGTTTTGGGATGCCTCTGACATTTCAACAGAACGCAACATGCACATCATTTAGATGCCAGTACCAAACACACAAAAGTACAGACAACTCACACAGCAGAGGAACATCTAGAAAAGGTAAAAAATAATCAACTCAAGATGTGTGCAATACATTATTTGCTGACTCAAGACCTTTTACATGAAAAAGTCTACTGTTTCAAGCACTATTAGTGTGAACAAGCTAGAAAGGGGATGGGTAAATGTAAGCATCATCTTCAAAACTTTGTTAACATTATATGCAATACATTAAAACATGTCAACAAGTACGAACTGAAAATGGAAACTAAAGCAAGGATATTTCCTTTCACTGTCTCAAGGGCAGAAAACGGGAGAACAAATATATATTTTTAAATTAAGATACCCCAAACAAATGTCACCTTGACAGGTTTTTATTTTAAAAATTAAAGAAAGCAAAGCTTTCTAAGTCTATAAACATTATCTAGAAGCCATAAATTCAATTTTGCTTAATAAAGAATAGTAACATCGTACCATTTTTCCCTGATGCTACCTAAAACCATGCGATGTAATCCTTTCAAAAAGCTACACCAAGAGGATTTTTGAAGGGAGGCTAAAGGGTTAACAAAAGGACCTTTGTGAAGCCAACTGTAGATCCATCTTAAATTGCTAGCATTGTGTTTTAGATTAACTTACTAATCATATGAAGTAAACTATAGATAAGAAACTAACACTGTAGGGAATGTGGAAGAGGGGAGATTAGTAGCAAATGGCCCATCTTTGTTACAGGCCTTGGAAGGCCTGCAGGAGAACAAAGCATCTGGCACTTTGTCGATATGAGGATGGCCAAGGACGGGGAGCTGGTTGGTACCGTCTGTGTTGTTCTGGCAGTGGAATAAGGGGGGTGGAAGCTGGAGTTCACCAAAAGGACAAGGTGAAGAAGAGGAGTGGATGAAGTAAACGACCCCGGAAGACCACCTACTCAAATCACTGAGCATGTGCAGTTGGGAGGGACTTATGGAAATGACCTCTTGAAACTAATTTTAATACAAAGTGGGGACAGGTTATGCCTATGTATAGGC